GGGGTGGGCGCCCTCGCGGTATACTCAGCCCGCGCGTGACTGGTGGTGGTCGCGCGGCAGCGAAGCGCCGTTACGGCGTACAGCTGACATATTATTATTATTATTATTATTCTTTATGGACAAACAGATAGAAGAGATAGCTAAACGCTGCCAAAAGTGCGCCAATGTCTTGAAAGCGCCGCAAAAATCAGGACTCTGTTCATGGCCAAAAGTTAGTAAACCATGATGCCGCATCCATGTCGACTTTGCGGGACCGATCAACGGCAGTAGTTTTCTCATTATAGTCGACTCATACAGCAAGTGGCCTGAAGTATTTATTATGGATAGCACAACCACCAATGCCACCGTAGCGAAACTGCGCCAAACCTTTAGCAGATTCGGCTGTCCTGAGACAATTGTCACTGACACTGTCACAATTTACTTCAGCAACCTTTACGGAGTCTTGCAAGCAATGCGCCGTCCAACACGTTCGCTCGCCGCCGTTTCACCCACACTCGAATGGCTAGGCAGAAAGGTTTGTCGACACGTTCAAGCGAGCTCTCCACAAATCAAAAGGGGGGACGTATAGAGGAGGTGGTTGACCGGTTCCTTTTTTTCTACCGATCAACACCTAATTCACAAGCGCCAGATGGAGTTTCTCCAACACAGGCCATGATGAACCGGAAGCTCCGCATGCCTTTCGACGCCATCCGACCGCGCTCGGAGTCCTCTGTTGGTGAAAGAAACCGCAAAATGGAACGGTACTTTAACCGGCGGCATGGAGCAAAGAAGCGATCTTTTACGCTTGGATAGATGGTGCTAGTACGTGACTATCGGGAAGGCCATGCGAAATGGACGCCAGGGACGGTCAAAAGCAAGCGCGGAAACGTCATGTATAACGTGATGGTGGGCGCACAGCTTTGGCCACGGCATGCAAACCAGTTACGGTCCACATTGTGCCAACCAGAAAAAGAAACGCCCACTAACCTCCCGTTCGATTTACTGGTGGAAAACTTCAACTTGCCGAAGGTAGCAGTGGACGACTGCACACAGTCGAGCAAAGAACCCAGAACACGGACATCTGAACAAAATTCTCGAGCACTTCTGCCAAGGAGATGGACCGACAGGCAGAGAACACTGTCCCCAAGATTGCAAGTTAATCCTAGGCTTTCGTCATATACCTCGGACCATATCTCAGTAGGGGAGGTGTCCGGAAGAAAGTAAGAATTGCCTAGGAAATCCATTATTTTAACCATTACTCGATTATTAACGATTATCACATCGATTTCGAGCGTTCCTGAATGTTCTAGTTCTGCACGTGACTAAACACCACTTTACAACCCGGCAAAAGATATGGGGAACCACTAACCTCGGCAGCTGACCTTCCAATTCTAGAAGTCGAAGGTCAGTAAGCGACCCATAAATACAGCCAAGGTCCACAGTAGTTGTGCAGTGTTTGTTGGCGGCGATTAATACGTTACTTTATCTAGGTCATTGGCGTTCTGCTTTTCCCTCTGGTTTGGCTCGAAGTTTTGTGGAGCAGTAAATTGTTATTTTTAGATTTGCATCTGGTGAGAAGATTCTAACAGAATCCAAGGCCCCTCTGATGTCGAGGATCACGACTACGGTGGGTCGCCACTAAATATGGCGGTGCCATAACAATTGACATAATGTGAAGATGTGATCAATACAGCTGCGACGAAACCCGGATTGCTCTTCGCGAATCTGGCTTTTACTGGTGCCACCAAGTCCATGAATAATCACAGTGGCGAGTATGTCAAAGGCAGCTGACATTCGACTGATCTCTCTATTATTGCCATATTCGGAACGTGAGCCCCCCCCCTAACAATCTGAATTATAACGGAGCGCCTCCAGTCTGTTGACAGTTTCCGGCTCCCACAGCTGCACCAGCAAATTCTGCAAATCATCTACAAGAACAGGTCCTTTGGATTTGAAGAATGCAGAAGGAATTTTATCTGCTCCTGCGGCCTTATGCATTTCCAACAGTCGGATCTCATGTTCGACTTCTGTGCGTGAAGGCGGGTCCGAGGGGATGACCTAGGGAGAAGGGCGATCAATGACCGATGGAGAAGCTGTAACTCCAGTTGATTAAGCATCTTTAAGAGTGTTCGGCCCAACGCTCCCAGCCTTTTGACAAACCATGGATTGGACGTCCACCCTCGTCACGTATGGTCTCGCTAACACCAGGTCTCCTGCTGACTGTTCGCGTATCAGAAAGAATGACTTCTGATCTTTACCATGGGCAGTGGCCATTTCCATTTCTGATGCACGATGAGATCACCAGGATTCGCGGTCTCTCTTCAAGTTAGCATGCAATTTCGCTCTGAGGTCTTTGCGAGTCTCCTTGTGTTCGCTTCCAGCCGGAATGTGTCGGCGAACATTCAAAAGTTCGAGTGACTGTCTAAAGATCCAATGTCCAGGTTAGCTTTCTGATTTGCCACATGAAGACATGTTTGCTGCTAATAACCTCTGTTGAATATGCGACCAATGATCCTCTACTGTGATCGGAGAGTGCTTACTCAGTCCGGCTACCAATGTACTTTGATTTGCATTCAGAACATCTGACTTCACCGGCTGGCATATATCTATGTACTCAGCGTCGCTGCGTGCGCCTACCGAAGCGAACTGTAAGATCGGCACAAAGGAGTGTGTGATCATAGTCCACCTTCGTGTTCCAGATTGGGCGACTGTTTTGGACACAGCCTCTCCAGTAATAACTGATCACGACGTGGTCGGTTTGCGTCCATGGTTGGTTTGAGGCGCGTTGGCGCCATATCATCTTTCAGTGAGTACTATGTCGGAAGTTAGTGCTGGCGAGAAATAGGCAGATGTCTTTACACAGGCGTAACAACCGCTCATTGTTATCATTACGGGAACATACGGCATGTTGGCCGCCCATTGGGGAGCAGGAAACCCAACGGACTGGAGGCGCTCCGTTGCAGTCCTGATTTTCAATTTGGGGACTCACGTTCCGAATGCGGCAATCACGGCGGGATCAGTCTGATTTCGATTGCTTCTAATATATTCACCTCTGTCGTTCATTAAATCCAGATTCTTGGGAAGCTAACCGGGTTGCGTCGAAGATGCGGCTGTGTTGATTACATGGACTGTTGAAGCTCCGTCGTATTTGTCGTCAAACCACCGTAGTCATGTTCTTAGGCATCAAATTATTCTTCTATTCGGCAGATTGCTGTACTCAGGACAGGTGTGACCGAAAAGTGCTTACACCCTATCAGCGCTTCACGCGCATAACTCGAATAGAGCGAGGGCTTACGGTAACCTGTCGCCGCCTTACAATATGTCCAACGATGTGAGACAAGGATGCCCACTGTCACCTATCTATTATAACTTCCATCGACGAAGCCATGGACACGGTGTTCACTGGACACAATCTGCTGGGCGTCGAGCTGCTTCCTAGTGATAGACTTAACTTGGAGTATGTTGACGACATCACACTAATCTTTTACAGTTAAACGTGCTACGCGACACTGGATATATTAGCACCGACCGTCAACTGTTGTGAGCTTTGCTTCGCTTCCTCGAAATGCACAATCCTCCACGATTGGCGGAGACCCACCTATGCGCTGATCCTCGGTGGGGATCAGCTTAAAGTAGTCGAGAAATTCATGTACCTTGGCAACTATATTAACGTCAGCTGAATTGAAGATGAGATCATAAACCGCACAACAAAAACTAATGGTGCTTTGGCCCGTCTCCGTCTCCTGTGGCGCCAACGCTACACCACTCTCGCTCTGAAGGGTAGAGTTTACAACGAGACCATCTGTTTAACTCTCCAGTGCGGTTGCAAAACCTGGCACAACAGGTCGACAGAGGCAAAAATAGGTAAGTAACGTTCGCTAATCGCTACCTTCGCAACGTAGCTCATGTCTGGTGGGAGCACCGCGTGAGCGACGGGCGTGTTCAGCGTCGTGTGTTTGGTGCAGGAAGAACGAGTAAACCGCTCAGCATCGTTATGTCATGCACCAGGCTCAGATGGTTGGACCACGTGTTGTGCATGCCTGCACACCGACTCCTGCGACGTGCGATTTTGCGCGCCGGGGTTGCGGATGGAAGAAGAGGAGGGGAGGCGAACTGATGATTTGGTCAGGAGGAATGACGTCTCTCACTTCGAACTTGGCGTCGCTTGGTGTCTCGTGATTGCCGGGCTGGAGTCCAAAGGACGATGAACACCTTTGGTTGGATACACTAGTTGAAATGGCAAGGAGCCGATCTCGATGGTGTTTCTTGGTGAGTTTCCTTTTCCCTCCCCATCCTGCTTATCTCCCCTCTCCAACGACGATCGCTCTATTGAGACATAATATGTTACTAAACAGTGTGTATCATTCTTCGACGATTTACTGGTCTCCGTGAGGACTGAATCACTGAAAGCCAGGCTGGCTTCTGCTCTAGCCGTGGTTGCATCGATCATTAATTTAATTTTCGCCCACTTTTAGAGAAGAGACACACATACAGACGACCGACAATGCTAGTTTCCATTGGCTTGATAGCCGCCTTAGACTCTCTTGAATGCGCCAGCTTGTGGCATAGCCTATCCACGAAGGGCGTGCTAGCTAAACTCTTTTTCATGCTGAATTCCCTGTACCGCGATTCCCGAGACCGAGTAATCGTCTACGGCATATTGTCTCCTGAATTCCTCACGACAAGTGGGGTTCGGCAGGGTTGTCCTATATCTCCTTTCTACTACAACTTTGCGATCAAAATGTCGATGATTGATTCGCAGTAGTTAATAGAGTATTCGAGCGTCGATTGGGTGACACTGGTTCTTTTCTCTTCTTTTTGATTTCGTCATTCTTTTGTCGGATCCCTTCCATGGTTTTTTCACTCTCCATCTAGTCTAGGCTGTTTCTGCTCAGCTGTGACAACGGTATCCAGTTCCCTACGAGGTGTGAGCCAGGCACGTCTTAATTTCCGTTTGATCTCTTGCTAGGTTGTTTTTACGATTTCATTCATCGTCTACGAAGTTTTTGTTTTGCATTGTAGCCCCCTTGGTCTCTTTCGACCTGCGTACGCACTGGACCCAAAATCATAGACCGGCCGCATATTAGACAGGATAGCATATCTCGAATATGTGGGATCTCGTCTGTCACTCTGATTTGGCATGCGCATAGCTGTTTGTACACCAGTATATAGGCTATGAGCGAGACTAGGCGACGATCAAACGCTTCAAGAGATTCAAGCGATGTCTCTTCACCCCTCACTGCTCTTTCTTCCTGTTCTAATTCTGAGTTGCCAGCAAAACCGATGGAAGAGAGTGATGACACTATTAAACTTAGCTACTGGATCTACTTCAGTCTTGCGCTATTTCTGACAGTGGTATCACTGTCGTTTTACCGGAACTCATGTTTTTCACATTCTGCTCCGAAGGAATCATCCCCTAATGACTTTAACAATAAGAATGCTAGGTTGCATCTTCAAAGAGTGACTTCCTTCGGACCGCGTACGGCGGGCTCTGTGTCGAATGAAATTTTGGCTGCTGGATATCTGCGGCTCGCTCTGCGAGATATCGAACGACAGGCTAATATATCGGGGCTGAGCGCTTCATTCGACGAGCAAATTTCTGGATACTCTTCTTTCCAGTCGCATCTTCACGTATGTTCCTACAACAACTTACGGAATTTCGTTCTTCGTCTGCGGGATCCTAGAGTCACCAGTGCTCCATCCCGAAGAGCATTTTTAGTCAATTGTCATTTTGACAGTGCGGTGGGCAGCCCTGGTGCATCTGATGCCTTCGTCAGCTGCGCTGTCATGCTTGAACTCGGTCGTGTACTCGCAAAAGGCGATATTAGACTACTCAACGATATCATCTTTTTATTCAATGGAGCTGAGGAAAGCATTCTGCCTGCGAGCCACGCATTTATCACACAGCATCCATGGGCCGATGACGTATTCGCTTTTCTGAATTTGGAAGGAGCTGGCTCAGGAGGGCGTTTGCTGGTGTTTCAGGTAGGACCTGGGATAGCCTCGGAGATGTTACTGGAAGCTTATTCTACTTCTTTCCAGCAACCATTTGCTGATGTCATAGCTGAAGAAGTATTTCGATCCGGATTAGTTCCGTCAGATACTGATTTCAGAATTTTCCGAGACTATGGCTTCATACCTGGCTTAGATATGGCATACATTTCCGATGGATATTCTTACCACACACCGTTTGACACGGAATGTCGCATTTCGTCTGACTGCCTGCAGAGAACTGGGGAGGATCTACTAAAACTGGTATCCACTGTTGTTCAGGATAAACGGCTGGCTTCAATCCCTAAGCTCTCCCCTAGAGCTTATCCGTCTGTCGGAAACAATACATTGCCTACTTCATTCGTTGTGCCGATGTCAATGCAACCAACTACGAAAGTTTCTGATACAAACGAGAAACGGCAAGTATACTTTGATCTTTTTGGGTTGACACTTTTCACATTCGACTGGACATCCTGGAAGATCTTTAACTGGCTACTTTGTTTTTGTGTCTACTGTCAACTCTTCCATCACCGACAGCTTTATTTTCCAAAGTGGGGCGCACTTTGCTTTTCGATTACGATTCAAGTCATCGGTCAGGTTTTTGGATTTTTGTTCATTCTCTCCGTAGGATACCTTGTGCATTCATACGGGTGTAGAATGTCATGGTATTCTGCTAGATATAACTTGTTTGGAGTTTACGTCCTTCCAGCCATTCTCTGGTTCACCTGGTTTCATACCTACTTCCTTAGATTTGTCTCTGGGTTTGTTGCCAGATGTAACTCTGTCCGCAACTTGGTCACTGTCTTAAATTGGGTCGTGGATGGCCGGCCGAACTATTTCACAGTAGAGCGCGACTTTTTCGATGCTTCCGTTGTAATTTTGTCGTGCCTCATTACCCTACTTACTGTGTTGAACACTCCGGCTGTATACGTTGTTACATTGTGGTTGTTCTTCTCATCGTTCGGCAGGCTTATACATCGGATTTTATTTTCCTCCGCCGACTCACTCTGTTTGACCAGATTACTTTTGATTTTGTTACCAATACTTACTTGTGTTCACTCACGTGTGTGCATGAATCTGTTGGATTTCATCATTCCTATAATGGGACGTGCTGGACACATTATTGGACCTGATATAATTGTCGCAGCTTGTGTTTTCCTCATTGTATCACCCGCTTTTCTATTTCTCGCTGGTAGTCTCCAGTGTACTTCAGTCAGGGTCAGTAGAAACCTCAGATTGGTTCTGCTCAATGCCTGCTTATCGTACGCCGTTTTGGTCCACGCGTCTCCTTACGGTTTTCCGTATACGGTTTCGTCTTCAAACACAAGTGATCCATCCATCAGCCCTCGTTTTCAAAGGGTTGGTGTGTTTCACGCAGTCCGGAACTTTCGGGATAAACCTAACGATCCTCAAATTACCAGCACAGACAGCCATGTATTAGTTCTCCCGCTAGATGCTAACAGCATCCGATATTTAAAACCTAATTCATATCCATCTACGGTGCCCTCGTCAATATTCACTCTTCTACATCATGGGGACAACGCCTACGGATCTGCACTTTATGGTGGCCTGGAGGAATTGTCTAGAATCACGCCTGCTTCTTGCGACTTTTCTCGTCCATATTGCGGCATTGCTGCAATATATCCCAGCCTGCATTACTTTAATAATTTCTTTTTTATTCCAACGGATTTCCATCATTCGAAGCCAAGCACCAATTTACACCTGTTGTCACGTCAGGTTGTTTTTCTTGAAGGCTTAGGGGCCGATCGGAGGCTATGGAATGTGACATTCTCTGTGTGCTCGGGTCCACCTCACACGCACATTACAATACGCACTGAACCTCCTTATGTTCTACTACTACGCTGGTCTTTCTCTTCAGAACATGCCATTCCCACCCCCGTACCATTAACAGTAGATGGGCGGATTAATCGCAAGCAGAGCGTCGGTGCTCACTATTTTGTTTACCACATTAACGCCGCAGCAGTGAATCAAACCATTTGGCAAGATCCTCTTGTATTTTGGTTGATTTTTGATGCCATCTCTGTTCCTGGAAACGTCGCGTCGTTTGACATCTCTGTGTCTGGGATATATATGGATGAAAGCTTGCCCTCTAGCTCTTCTCCACAACTGCGTGACATCTTATCAAGGCTTCCGCCTTGGACAGTTCCAATGACAGCATGCACATCCTACGATCATTATCGTGTGGGCCTCATGTGAAGACTCAGGTTGCTTTCTTTTTGCTCAATGTCACTAAACCTTTGGGTTGTGCACTTTTCCAAGCCTTGTAATTTCACTTAGTTTAATTAATACACGCTTGTGAATAGCCCATTTTTTGATATTGTATGTTTTTCCTACTGAGAGTACCAGCAGTCCGCACGATGGTTATCAGAATCGAGGCGCTCAACTTCATTACTTAAGCTTTACGCTTGCTTGTTGCTTTTTCTGCATTCTGTGGTTAAACGTTTGGCACTATATTGGACGGCATAAAGCTGCTTGACGGATGCTACCTCATCTTGGCATGGTGGTTAAATCTTCAACAACGATTGCTCTTCAATACTTTGCATCCGTGTCTTGCTTCAAAATTTGATGAGACCTCCCTGGCTTAGGGGATGTTAAACATGATCGCGTCCAGCACCTATTCAGAACCTGAGTGTTCAGCCCCTATAAAGATATGTTGTTTTCTGACAGTCAGCTTCTTTGTGACTTTCACTATCACTGGTGCCGGTTGTGTTCACTGTCCAATCATCTTTTGAACCAAATGCAGACTGGACCTTTTAGCCCCTAACTTAGAGGGCGAATATCGTCCCACTCGAGCTTGGCGTCCACGCTGACGCTACAAACAAACAAGGCTATTTTCGGCAGGTGGTATGTGAGACCTTGATGTCTAGCGATGATATACGTGCTTCCGTGACTCATTGAGCATTCAAAGTCATTCATACCAAACAGATCACACTTAGGATCATCATCATCATTATACGTTAGCTGGAGGTGGAAAACACCTCAGCTATTGTGCCGCAATACAAAATAAAATAAAAGGAAAACAGTGACAAACAGTGGCACGCCCGCTGAGTCCCCAGTAACGGATGGACATCGTTCCGGAGAGCTAACAGCTGGCTGCCGTAAAAAGAATCATATTATGCCTAACAAGTGAGATCTTGATTGGAGGGGGATACCAAACAGGAGGGGGATGGGCAAAGGAAATCACAACACAAACGCCATTGGGGCCGGCTCCTAGCCATATCAGCAAGTGTGTCCAACCAAACGTGTTCACCGTCCTTAGGACCCCAGCCAGGCAGTCGGGATGCACCAACCGACGCCAACTTCGAAGTGAGGGTTTTCATTTCTCTCGACCAAGTCATCACTTGGCCTCCTCTTCTTCCAACCGCACCCACAACGCGCAAACAATGCACGTCGCGGGAGTCGGTGTGCTGGCATGCGCAACACGTGGCCCAGCCATCGGAGCCTGGTGCGTGATATAATCGTGCTGAGCGGTTCACTCGCTCTTCCTGCACCAAATACGCGACGTCGAACACGCTCATTGCTCACGCGGTGTTCCCACCAGACATGAGCTAAGCTGCGAAGGCAGCGATGATCGAATGTGACGAGTCTCTTCATGTCTGTCGACCTGATGAGCCAGGTTTCACAACCATATAGGAGAGTTGAACGGACGGCTGCGTTGTAAACTCTGCCTTTGAGGGCGAGAGTAATGTCGCGTCTGCGCCACAGGTGGCGGAGATTGGCAAAAGCACCTCGAGCTTTTGCTATACGGTTCGTAACCTCATCTTCAATCCCACGGGTGCTAATATAGCTGCCCAGGTACTTAAATTCCTGAACGACTTCTAGCAGATCACCACCAAGCGTTAGCGCAGGGTTGGGTCCATCGCAATGAGGCTGGACCTTACCGTGGTGCGATGGTTTGCGTGCCTCAGAGATCCATTGAGCTATGCTGGGTGGTGCTTTTTTGCACCTTTAGAGCCACTCATACCAGATTGGTCAATGGTTAGAGGCCAGACTAACTCAGCCTCCTGGTCCTCCAGGTTGGGGGTTGGGATGGGGTGGCTCCTCATTTCATAAAACGGGCTCTGTAGTCCAGTGCCAAAACCCGCTGCCTTGCGGTAAGGTTTTTGAACCAAAGGCTTTGGTTGAGAACCCTAATCCTTCTCCTGTCTAGGCCTGGGCAACCTGACAGTATTCTGCCCACGCAATACAATGAACCTTTCCTACAACAGTTTCTTGATGCTCTGGCCGTCGCAGAGGATAATAAACGGCGCCCTATCTGCTGCATCGAGCAGGGTGGATAGGGGTTTGGATGCTACTGCTCAGGCCTTCCCGTCTTCTTATACCCCTTCTTGCGCTTCTGCATCCTTATTGTCCCGCTCCAACTTTACTTATATCCCCCCATTTTTAATCCCCCAATTCTTGGCCCTCCCCCAGCTTACTTCAATAGTCGCTTGTCTTCTAATTTCAAATCACACACAATCGCAGGGCCTCGCTCCAATCCAGTCGACAAGTCCATGTTCAACCAAGCGGACAACGTCAGTTCATCCGTTTCCCTTTGGAGTCCTCGCGTCTCGCTAAGATTGGCATGCCTCAACGTGCGCACTTTGCTGCAGATTGGCCAACAGGCAGCACTTGCCCGCACACTAGAGACCCTATCGATCGATATTTGCTGTTTATCGGAAACCCGCCTGCAAGGTTCGAGCTCCGTGCTTACCCTGAGATCCCCCACATGCGACACTGGCGGCACATTCTCATTGCGCCTATCTGGCGATGATGCAGCTTCAAATGCCGGTCAAGCTGGCGTCGGCATTGTTTTGAGTCCCCGGGCTGAAGCTGCCCTGCTTGATTAGATCCCAGTAAACAGTAGGATGTGCGCCGTTAGATTAGCTGGTTCGTTCCGTGCTTCGAAGTCGCGCGGGGACAAACGGTGCCTGTTTGTCATTGCGGCCTACGCCCCTACAAACTGTAGCACTGATTCGGTAAAAGATGATTTCTATCAGCAACTTAACGATCTCCTTCGTTACAGAAGAAGCATGGATACTGTGGTGCTGGCTGGCGATCTAAACGCCCAAGTCGGAAAATTGTCCTCTGATGAGCTTCATCTAGGCGGCCAACATGGTGTAGGCTCCCGTAATGATAATGGTGAGCGATTGCTCCAGCTGTGTGAAGATGCTCGTCTCTTTCTCGCGAGCACTACTTTTCGACACAGCGCCCGCAGAAGTGTGACTTGGCGGCCACCAGCCTCGGGCCAGTCATGGACGCAAATCGATCATATCGCGATCAGTTACCGCTGGAGAGGCTGTGTCCAAAACTGTCGCTCGATTTGGAGCACGAGCGTGGACTCTGACCACGCACTTGTATGTGCCGACCTCCTGGTGCGTTTCGGTGGACGTCCGCGACGTCGATGTGAACGGATTGACACTAGCCAGCTGGCGAAGCCAGATGTTCTGAATGTATACCATAGTGCGCTGACATCTGGGCTGAGTAAGCGCCCACTAAACACCGTTGAAGATCACTGGTCGCATACTCGTCAAGCGTTGCTATTAGCAGGCATGTCTTCATGTGGCAAAACAAATTGCAAAACCGAACATTGGGTCTCTACACAGTCTCTGTAACTTATGGATGCTCGCCGACGTATTCCGGCTGGAAGCGAATACAATGAAGCTCGCAAAAATCTCAGGGCGAAACTACGTGCTAGCCTAAAGAAGGACCGCGAAACCTGGTGGTCTCATCGTGCCTCTGAGATGGAAACAGCCGCTGCCATTGGTAACCATCGTAAGTTATACCGGCTGATACGGGCAACAGGCAGTAGGAGACCTGGTGTTAGCGAGACCATACGCGACGAGAGTGGGCAGATGATCCACAGCCTGTCAAAACGCTTGGAGCGTTGGGCTGAACACTTTGCTATGCAATTTAACCAACCTGAGTTATCGCTTTCTTCGGGCATTCGGCGCCCTTCTCCTTGGGCCGTCTCCTTGGATCCGCCCTCACGCGCAGAAGTCGAACGTGAGATCACGCTGTTGAAATTGCATAAGGCCGCAGGAGCAGATAGAATTCCTCCAGCCCTCTTCAAATTCGGGGGACCTGCTCTAGTAGATGATCTACACGAGTTGCTAGTAAAACTTTGGGAGCAGGAGACAGTCCCGACAGACTGGAACCGCTCCGTCATTGCCCCAATTTTCAAGGGAGGCTCCCGTTTAGAATGTGGCAATCATAGAGGGATCAGTCTGATTTCGATTGCCTCTAAATTGCTTGCCTCTGTCATTCTCCACAGACTGACTGGCACTCGTGAAAGCCAAATTCGTGAAGAGCAAGCCGGATTTCGTCGAGGTCGGGGCTGCATCGACCACATCTTCACATTGCGTCAAGTGTTGGAGCACCGCCATGTTTATTGGCGACCCACCGTTGTCGTGTTTCTTGACATAAAAGGTGCCTTCGACTCAGTCGATCGATGTGCCCTTTGGGACTGTCTGTTGAGGAAAGGTGTGCCTGATAAATATGTAAACATTATCAAAGCGCTGTACGCACATAGTTCGGGCAGGGTGAGGGTTTATGGCAAACTCTCGCCACCCCTCAGTATCACCAGCGGTGTGAGACAAGGATGCCGGCTGTCACCTTTCCTCTTCAACTTCGCTATTGATGAAGTCATGGAAACAGCATTCGCTGGACACGACCTAGAAGGTGTGGAGCTACTCCCTGGTGAGCGACTTCTTGACTTAGAGTATGCGGACGATATTGCCCTAATCTGTGACAGCTCCCAAACATGCCAAACAGCACTGAACCGATTAGCACTGGCTGTCAATCGTTTTGGGCTATGCTTTGCTCCATCGAAATGCAAAGTACTTCTCCAAGATTGGCAGGGACCCAACCCTGCGCTAACGCTTGGTGGTGATCTGCTAGAAGTCGTTCAGGAATTTAAGTACCTGGGCAGCTATATTAGCACCCGTGGGATTGAAGATGAGGTTACGAACCGTATAGCAAAAGCTCGAGGTGCTTTTGCCAATCTCCGCCACCTGTGGCGCAGACGCGACATTACTCTCGCCCTCAAAGGCAGAGTTTACAACGCAGCCGTCCGTTCAACTCTCCTATATGGCTGTGAAACCTGGCCCATCAGGTCGACAGACATGAAGAGACTCGTCACATTCGATCATCGCTGCCTTCGCAGCTTAGCTCATGTCTGGTGGGAACACCGCGTGAGCAATGAGCGCGTTCGGCGTCGCGTATTTGGTGCAGGAAGAGCGAGTGAACCGCTCAGCACGATTATATCACGCACCAGGCTCCGATGGCTGGGCCACGTGTTGCGCATGCCAGCACACCGACTCCCGCGACGTGCATTGTTTGCGCGTTGTGGGTGCGGTTGGAAGAAGAGGAGGCCAAGTGATGACTTGGTCGAGAGAAATGAAAACCCTCACTTCGAAGTTGGCGTCGGTTGGTGCATCCCGACTGCCTGGCTGAGGTCCTAAGGACGGTGAACACGTTT